GAACCCTGAGTTTCCGTAGCTGTCGATTGGCTCTTCTCTGGATACGATTTCGAGCAATCCTGTGTGGTGTTACGAGTGGCATTGCGGCGTAACCACCGTCAGCCAATAACCGCGCATTCCTTGGTAGGCGTTTCTGACCATGAAACCCGATACTGGGCAGATAATTGTAGGTTGATGCATCATTAAGATGACCAGGAAATCTGCATAGTAATTTATAATTAAAACCATGATTGGTTTGSTGTTCTGGTATCAGTAAATTGATCACAAGAAGTGATACTGGTAAATAAAAAACGTCCTTACCCTGAAACAAGTAGCACTATCATACCATCAGCATCAATAACCATCTGCGTGGATATAAAGTGGGTCTTTTTGTCGCCACGGTAAAATTCGGCCTGAAATAAGCCAGTCGGGCGCCGTATTTTATGGACGGTAGCATCGATAATCCCAACCGCATTTGGAWAGCTTCTCCATTGACCAATAAATGTTGACCACTGCSTGAGGTTATGCCACGTGATAAGTCTACGGAAGTGGAGAAATAATATTGGCACTMTGTGGTATATTTCTTCGTGTACAGTGCTAGTACTTATTTGAAATGTGAAAGCCAGGCTGTCGTACTTGGGATAAATTCGTAGCCAGATCATCACGAGTAAAACTCGGTTTCGCACATCTTCTCCGATTGGAACTTGGTATTCTTGGACACACCCGAGGCTTTGTCACGTCAAGGCCTACTGTCTGTACAATGTTACCAGGAGTCTCGGCAGTGACGTACCAAAATGTTCTGGGACTTCTTTCAAGCTTGCTCCATACGTCCTTTCCGACGTTTCTMTGAWWTATAATTCTTGGAAACAGTACTTGTATAAGTGGAGTGGRAACAGAGCATATTTGAAGAGCAGTTACAATTGTTGTAATCACGTTAGCCAGYGGTGGAAATGGTAGAAAAAGTAGATTGTCAGGATTGTCCAAAATAGCTAGATCCAAAAAAGAAATGCTTGCAGCAATAGTTGTGGCTAAACATAAAGGAAAAGGAGGAGGTAGAACTCGACGTCCATCCATACCTATAGCTAGTAGCAATGTGCGGAAAACTGAATATATTTCTGACGCGCGTAACAAAAGCGAAAAAAATGCTTTGTGAAAACAGGTTGTGAAAGTTGTGAGTATTTCTTTCACTCGTGATCTATGCTGATGATAAAGAACTCACGAGCTTATTCAGATGTCGAAAGAATGAAGTGTAWCACATAGTTTTTGTCACCTATTTACCGAAGGTTTTTGATATAAAACCTGCACGAGTATTGGCAAAGAAGCCAGGACCTGTTTCTAGTTCAAAATCATGGAAGATGAAAACATTTTTTTGAGAGCAGCTCTCAGCAAAAGTATAGAAATACCAACGGTACAATTCAAGAAACCAGAATTGACAAGCGAAAGCAGGCCTTCTTGTTCGTATTCGAAAACAGACGACATGAAATGAGGTGAACCGCCCAGCAAAGCAAGAAGAATGT